GAGAGAGAGAGAGGAAGAGAGGGAGAGAGTACAAGTAAAGCAGATACTATCAGTTTAGACTTCCAATCATCAGGTACAATATGCTAACCTGCCAGTGATATTGGGGATGAAATTTGTTGCGTCCAAGCAAAGCAAACCATGGAGCCAAGCCTCTATTGGATCCCCAGAAGAATACCTGATTGACTCGCTCAATTCTATCTTCCTGAAAGCTCTACCTAGAATATACAGGGAGACCGTTTGAGAAGACAATTAAAACATGAGGAACACAAACTTTGCTGAGCAAGAATGCTTACAGGAAAAACAAAAAATAATAATAACAATTTGAAGATAGAGAGGCATGAAGGAAGAGAGAGAAAACATGGAGATAGAATAATATAACGCATAGAAGAGTTAGCAGAGATACACATTGTGAAGTACAAAAATGTTCATAAAAGAAAGAGATTCCTATGGCTCTTAATTTGGTAGTTTCTAGAATCGTGTAGATTATGTTTGTGCTTGAGATTAGTCCCTGATTGCAACAAGTCATGACTTGCCGTTTTCTAAATTATTATTAGAAGTCATGATGACATTTGCAGCAGCAAGGATGATATGCACATATGTCAAGTTTTACCTATTGCCTTAATATTCAGATTTCTTCTTTTTTCAAATAAGTAAGCTTTCAGAAGTGTTTTCATTTTTCTCATAGGTAGGTGGGAGTGTTGTCATTAGTATGAGTACTTTAGAACTCAAATTTGCCAGGTGAACTGGCCACATCAGGGAAAACAGTCCAAGTAGGTACCCAACCGATTCTCCTTGGTGCAAATTGGTCAATTAAAAAAAACAAAACGAGAGAGAAAAATAACAAATAATATAAATTGCAGGAACCAGGGGAGCTGGGCGATCCAGGTTGCCTAGTTTCCACAGATTCGTCTGGTTTCCTGAGGGAACGAGATGATTTTGTTGAGAAGCTAGATGATACTGTGGGAAGCAGCCCGATTCCCAATTCAGAGAGGGAACCAGCGAGGTTCCCACCGATACCTGATCCGGATCGGCATTTTTTAGAACACTAGTTGATATACAGCTCAAAATGTGACTTCCTGTTGACTGTCTTTGCATATTGCTTATTTATTTGTTCTCTCTTGATGTGCAATAAGTTTAATTACTTACAAGAAAGAGATTCACTTCAAAATTAACCTATAAAGACAATTTGTAGATAGTAAAGCAGCTAATGATAAAAAAGACAAATGAACCCCCAAAACAGAAACAAGTCATTCCCTTCACCATAATACTCATATAGGGAAGAAAGATAGATAAGAAGGAAGCTCTCTACTAGAAATTGTCTGATCAACAAAGAGGATCTGAATATTAAAAAATATGGTACCATCTATATACCAATCAGGTGGAAAATGTGAAAGAGCACATTAGGATCACTATTTTATCATGGGTTGGATCAAGAATAGAATTTTGGGACATGCTGTGAAGGATTTTGAAACAAGCTGGAAGGAGATTAGCAGAACAGAATCGAAAAAAGATGTTTGATGATCCAACGAATGGTTTTCTACCCAAGAAGGTAGCCTGAAATTAAACTTTGATACAGGCCCATAGGGAAGCCATGGGCCTGCTGAAATTCTACACCAGTTAAAGACCACCAAAGCAATCTTAATGACCTAACCTGGAGTGCTGGCAGTTCAAATGAGGCGGATATGTGATCACTGCGCATCGGCTTATGGCTGCTAGAAACGAGAAGGGAAGAAAATACTCATAGAACTCCTTCAATGCTATTGCATGGGGCACTGGCAGGATTGGTGCAAACTGCAAAGTTAAGGGCGACCCACTCACATTCATGAGGACACAGAAATGAAGGTCTAGTCAAGTAGTGCTCAAATTTTTTAGGCTTTTGGTTAAGTGGATAGTATGTTTTAGGATGGACACTTAATTTTGATAACAATGAAAATCAGTTTAACAGTTTAAAAAAATAAAATAAAAATTCCACATATATACCATGCATCCATGAAAAGTAAGATGCTGTAAGATAACACTACAATGGCACTAAAGTACAGTAGAGGAACATACCAGAGACAGACCCACTTTCATTGTTCACTGCTGACTGGCTCTGTTCTTGCAATTGTTGGAAGAGCTTTAATGAAAGGGAACGGCCAGTACCTTCATAACTTCAGGTAGAAAATAGAGTATCAAAAGTGAAGATCCATACCAATCAAAGAGAATTTATGAAATGAGATTCAAACTGAGGCAATGCAGATAAACAATGTTTAAAGAAATGGATCAGTGACCCAGATCATCCATCAGGAAAACCAATCTGCGTCACCAAAAATTGTTATAAATGATTTTTTTGGATTTCCAAGAAAAAAATAGCTAATGCATTATGAATTTTCATTATCTTGCAAAAATACGTCGTTTCCAATTTGAATGTCTTATTGACCATTAAATATTTTAGGTTTTCAAACTCAAATCCCTATTGAAGATAACTTCCTCTTTAAACAATTGGATTTGGCAATTAAAACCGCTCTGCGCTTCTTGCCAAGGAACAATGGTGATTTATAAAAAAGGTCTCCCTGCCATTTTTCAATTTTATTGTTATTCTATTTTCAAGTAAATCAAGGAATGAGACACTTTCTTAATATTTGAATTTTAATTATACATTTTCATAATTAAAATATTTAAGCCACCGCAAAAGAAGGGGTTCGAAATTTTTTTCAATTACAAATGTATTTTATTAAATATACTTAATAGAGTGCTCATAGGGTTTCATAGAAGACCTTTTTTATTTTTTAAACAATAGAGTGCTCATAGAAAATTTTTTGAAGCCTCCCTTTTTATTTGTCCATAATGGGTTAGTTTAAAAACAATTCATACCAAAGAGAGGGTGTTGGATTTAATTTTCCTTGGAATATTTTAAAATTAAAAAAAAAGAAAAAAGAAAGATAAATCATGGGTGTTTAATATTCTTTCTTCATGGCATCCACTATCTAGGGTTCACGTAGTCCTCAATCTTCATATTTTGTAGTTATTTTTATTTTCAGTTCCTTTGGGTTTTTCTACGGCTTAGTTTTTGGGTTACTGAGTGGGTATACCAAAGAATTCTTATGAGACAAAAAAGACCAAAAAGGGAAGTCCCAAACGTGCGGCACGTTAAAGAGATTTTGGATAGCGAGAGAAACCTTAATTTTTTTCTCTTTTTTATGAGATGCTGAGAAAACTCAAGTTAATTTGAGTATATATTCTCATAATGATAACATTGATGAGATATTATATATATCTGGGTAACAATATAAGTATTCATTTGAAGAGATATTGGGATGAGAATATATTGAGAGAATGCCTCAATAATTAGAAGATACTGCATGTGTGGATGGTTAAAGAAAGAAACACAAATTACTCTTGGAGAAAATTGGGGGGTTGGTGTTGGGAACCAAGAAAAGCCCAATAATTTTCATTCATTGCTGCCATGCACAAAGAAAACCAAAGAGAGAGATGGAAATAAACAAAAAAAGAGAGATGGAACATACTAATCCCATATCAGGGATGTGGTAACAAAAGGGGGACCCCAAACCCTTTAAAAGGTGGAGTCTCGCATGAGAAAGAGGCACACAACACTTTTGCCACGTCGTGTAGTGGCGGCAAAGTAAATAACAAAAAACTACAAAAATAAAAAATTTAAAATAGCATTAAATAAAATATATATTGAAACTGCAGAACCGTTGAACTGGCCGGTTCCCTATATATTGGGGTAACCAACTAGATGCTCTAATTTCCTATCCGATTAGGTGATTCCAATACGGATCGGCATTTTTTTGAGACACAGCTAATAAATGACAAAGCTAATAAAGAAGCAACTACATACCCATTTACAGTAGAAGAAAGAAAAACCAGATAAGGACCAAGTAACGACTTCACAACCGGTAATGGGATGGCTGCAGCTTCATCAATAACCAAAAGCTCCACTTGAGAAAGCTTTTCATGATCTTGTGGCTGAATATACTGTGAAGCCATGAAATTTCAGATATAGTCACATTTTTATCCTTCTAATAATCGTGAATCTCATCGACTTTTCGTATGGTATAATACCAATCAATAGCAATTAAAAACATTAAAAGAAAAAAACAACAAAAAAAACTAATCCCACACCTGAATTGTTTGTCTATGTTGCTTGTAAATGTTTACTCGCACAATTGCTTTCTTGAAGTCAGGGTTTGTACTTTGAACCAAGTCATAATGTAAATGTTCCTGGAAATAACAGACACCAAAATGAGAAATACACAAATGTTTATTATTAAGAAAAGAGGAGAGTAAAATTTTAAACCACAGACTTTTGCCAACTATGTTGAAGAACAACTCAAACTTCTCCTATATTTTCAGAAAGAAACCAAGTCCGAGTTCACAGTCATCCAAACAACTAAGAAAGCCAGAAAGCATACACATGCAACCAATACATTAAGGCGCAAAATGAGTCGCAAAAATATATAAAACCATAGACAAAGTTCGAAACACGAAGTGTACAACTGATATAAATTAAAACAAACCTTGTAGTCTAATGCATCAAAACCATTGCACACAAATTGAAAAAGAGTCTTCAAGTTCTCTGGACTTGGTGCAGTCACAAAGATATTAGAATACCTGGCACAATAAAAAAAACGAAACATTCAGAAGATCACATAAAACATTTAAATATTATACAGCTTTTACAAAACATATGGATTAAGTATCCAACCCAGCAGCAATTGCTCCTGCAATTGCAAGACCCAAAGCAGCAGATTTCCCACGCCCACGAGCAGCTGTTAAAGCAACCGTGCTCCGAAGGGTCTTCTCTAATATTGCGTCAAGAAATGTTATCACAGCTTTTCCCTATTCAACATGAAATTGCATGAGTTATTTCTTAAGATAGTCGTATAAGATAGTCTTATAAACACAGTCACGGAGTCAACAAGCAAACGTGCATGGGTGCAAACATCTGCGTGACATTTTTTAGCACTCGGCAGCAAGCTCGAAAACTGGAAACCTTAAAGTTTAGGTTATGTAACCTTTGCTTTTTATAAGTAGTGATGATAAACAAAGAAGAGACATATTGTGCACCTGATCCAGAGTACGACACTTTCCAACTAATGGACCAACAGGAAAATCATCATGAAGCTGCTCCTTAAGGTTTTTCAGGTCCAAATCTCCTTCTGAGAGACCCTCAGAACCCTTCAAGAACAAAGAACAGACAATGTCAACGAATCTCAGAACCCACGTAAGGGGTAAAACTGAGTACCAAGAGGCACAATAGGAGGTATTTTGGAGAAAAGAGAATTCAAGCACATTCATAAAATTGATAATCGTGTTCTACTCTGATTCCATAGTTTTGGGTTTCAACCACACACTTTTTCGATACAGAAAAAGACAAAAGAAGGTAACAATGATGGCAGAACACTATAATGAAATATTGAAAGGCAAATTTCAATCTTGCATTCTATAGGCACCATTTTATTACGTTAAACATTAAAACGAAGAAGAAAGAACGTAGTGAAAGCTGATCCAATGATCTGCATCAAGTTGATCAAGCATACAATAGAATCTATGCAATTGATTGAAAGTCAATATATTGTCCTAACCGAAGTCTTCGGCTTTTTATTGATAATCACCCAGACGGAAGATGCAAGAGGCTTTTCTGTTCAGCTTTTTATGAATCACAATACATATTAATAAGTTGAGTACAAACAGATAACTTACCTCTTTTACTGACACTGGATTTATTGACCTTATGTGTGATGAGACCGGTAAAATATTCAACTCATCATCCATAACCACACATGCTTTGCATGAGGCAAGAGATAATAAGAAGCGCTCATTGAAGCGTGCCGTTGCTTCTGAATGAGATTCAGTACGAAATCTCTCATGAACATCCTGTAAATCATAATGATCATTATATATCATATCTCTCTCTCTCACTTCTTTTTTTTTGGGAAATGTAATTAAATGATCATTATCGAATACTTCTTTAGAGAGTCAATCCTAGAACAGTGAGCTTAGCAAAAAAGAAAAATAATAGAACAATGAACACCATTCCCTAATTAAAATGGTGTGGAATCAGTAAGACCACATTAGTACGAACCATAACCATGGTGTAGAGACTGCTGAGTGATTTAAGAGAACTGAGCAATAACACAATCAAGCCACCTCCTTCAACTGTTTCAATGGTTCTCGCAAGGAGATTTGGAGTCAATGCTTCAAAATCCTAAACAAACCATGCATTGCAAAAGAAAAAGAAATGAAGTTAGATCAAAGAACTGTCATATTGTTTTTGGGTGAGTAAAGAACTGTTTGAAAACCATTAAATCAAAATTCAGAGTGAGACTTAAATGGAAAACAGTTAATAAAGGCCAAATAAATTGAAAAATATAAAAAAGCAAAGACAAAATACCTGGAGAATGCACATCCCAAAGGTGTTCCCTAGTATATTTTCAGTCTCTGAGTAGTAGCAATACCGTATCTCGGTACTTGTGACAAAAAGGGAAAATGGGTCATCTTTCTCTGGATCCAATAGTCCCCTTTGCATCATCTTCTTCAATTGTTTCATCCGTTTTTTCTTATGACTAAAAAAACAATTTCCAAATGTCAGGAATTGGTTTAAATACTGAAACCTTAACTTTATTATCATATCCCAAGTAAACTTAAAAAAAAAAAAAAAGGAGGACATTAGTCATGTAGAGTTGGAAACCCACAGCTGCATCAAACAATTACACGAATCAATAAAACATAAAATTCTAACAAATGAAACACCAAAATAGCATAAAAATCGAAACTTTAGAGCATTAACTATGTGCTAAATCACTAGGAACACAAAGTGATAAATGCATGTTAACTCATAAACATTAACCAAACAACAGGGGGGGGGGGGGGGAGGAAGCAAAACCTAAATTAAACATATTATTATCAGCATGATAGTTTCTAAAGAATTCACTTCGTCCAACCAGCTTACAAGTTACAACAAAACTATCAAACACAAATGCAACTAAGTACAGAATGACGTCTAAAATTCCAAACTTTTCATAATCATCTTTTTTTATTATAATTTTGATGGCTTCTTCTCGTGAATTTTTAAAGAATTACAGAGAATAGAAAGAAACAATAAATTTTACTGGAATAGAAAATTACAGAAAATCAATACCTGCTAAGGAACAGCTCTTTCTTATAGCACCAGAGGACTTTAGGGCGAGACTTGACTACTGATTTTGCAAGAATATGATAAAGATTGACAATCTACAAAAAAATTCAAACAATGGGTAATATTAGAGAAAAAGTTAACTAAAAATTCAAATTTTCATTTCCAGCTATTCTTAAAATTCAGAATTTAGCGCCACAAAAAGCATGACAATCGAAACTAAATTGAATATAATTCAAAAAATAAACTGAAAAATGAAACAAAACAGAAAAAAGGGTTACCTGGTCTCTAGATTTATCTCCAACAATAACACACATGGATCGATGCCTGGACTTGACGCCATTCTCTATGAGAGTTCTTATCCGTTCATCAACCTTCTTCCTCATTTTCTCTCTCTTCTTCCTATCCTTCACCTAATTCCAAAGCCCTATGAAGAGAAAAGCCGATTACTTCTCAACCTCTAAAACACTGAAAACTTTCCAATTTCTTTTTCTCTCTCAACGTCAAAACCTTGGTTTCTCTCTCCTTTCTTGCTATTATTCACTAATTCCAAAACCCTAAATGGAAAAGCCGCTTTCTTCTTCTCTTTGTTTCCAAAACCCTGGAAATTTTCCAGTCATCTCCCTCCCTGCTTCTAAAACCCTAGAAAACAATTGAGCAGTTTCTCTGGCCCATGGCATTTTTGGAAAAGGCTTCACTTGCTCATTTCTTCTTGTTTAAAGACGATTTTATCCAAGTGAGTTCATATCACAAGGTTCGTGTGCAATGAGCTCAATGAAGTCTTCCACAATAATCTTACTAGATCAGAACCGTCCATTGTCGACATGGGAAGGTGAGGACTATAAGAAACTTCACTTACTGCACCCTGGTGCATTCTTATTTGGAAAAGATCTGTGGACCTGCGAGACTAAATGATAGCATTAGGTCTCTCATCTACTAGTAGGGATGGCTACATATCGGGTTGGGTCTGGATCCGGTCAGACCTCGACCCGAACCCAAACCCCATCAGATCCGAAGTCACCAAACCCAGACTCGGACCCATAAATATAATGTCGGACCTAGACCCAGACCCGAACCTAACCTAACCAAACCGATCATACCCAACTTTAGGCAATCACTGTAAATTCATATGATTAGAGCAATTAGAAACAGATCCCCAGACTTAAATGAATACTCACCCTACCCAAAACCCACATCCAAATACTATGAGCAAAAGACAGGAATAGATGGTCTATTGTTTCTTCACCAGCTTGCTTAACAGGTATACATTCACAATCACTGGAACCCATCAAAGAGAATCCAATGTCAAGTGCTTCCATATAATACTTGAAAAGGCTTGCATTTGTGGTTGATAAGTCATTTTCACATTTTTGTAACATTTGGAGGAGTTTGTCTTAACTTTATCATGATACAAATATGGGTAAAGAGAATTAATAAAAAACTCCCCATCTGATTGATTCCAGCTTCCAAACTGCATCATCATCTCTTTCTAGGCTATGACACACCATTCCCATTGCCTGTAACAATTAAGAGACCCAAGAGATGACCATCTAATCATTAAAGCTTTATTCATAGTTTTTCTTTTGACCACCTTCTCTTGTTTGGGTGCAAACCATATCCACATTAAATAAAAAAGATTCCTTCTTCTCCTCATGCCCACTCCAAAGAGATACTTTCACCGATTTCTCTAAAAATCTTAGGAAATTATTTTATATACAAAGAAAGGAATATTGTTTCATGTGGGTTGGACCGCATTTCTACATATGCGGTCCAAAAAGTGTAAAGCGTACATCTTAAAGATGGATGCAAGCTTATGTTCCATCTAAAAACAATGGAAACTGATGGTCCAATGTTTTCTTACTAGAATTAATATTTTTAATTCATTTTTATTTTTTTATATTTTTAATCTCCATGTTAGAGATTACATGTCTTTAAAAATT